TGTACAGTAATACTGTAATACTTATTTTTGGGGCAATGTCTTCTTCCCAATCTTCTAGTAAAAAAGATCTGGCTTGGAAATATTCTAAACTAAAAAATCCGAAAGATAGAAATTGTGTGATATGCTTGCTCTGTGGAAATACTTATATAGGTGGTATTTTTTGACAAAAAGAGCACTTAGCCAGAATTTTTGGGAATGTAAGAGCATGCCCACAAGCTACAGATAATATAAAAAAGGAGATTAGAGAATATTTGGGTAGATTGAAAAAAGATAAAGAGAAGAAAAAGATGAAAAGAAAAGAATTACTTGATGATGTCCAATTATTTGATGATGATGATGATGATATGTCGGAAGTTGCTATGAGGCAAAAGGGTACTCGTACTCTAAGCTCAAGAGAGATGGTTATAAATAATGGTGGTAGTATTGAAAGAAGAATACCTCTCTCCATGGGGCCAATGGATGCTTTTTCCACCCCTAGCCCCGAAATTGTGGTTCAGGAGAGAAAGAAAAAAAACAAAACAAACCATAATTGAAAATAGATATAAGAAAGAGCATAAGAGGTCGGTAAGTGGATTGCAAAGTGGATTTACATGACCGGCATTCCTTTTAATACTATACCTCTGGATAGTTTTGCATGTATCGTCCAGGCAATTGGGTAATATGGCCCAAGACTTGTTCCTCCTTCACTAGATGAGGTTAGGGAGCCCTTGTTGAAGAATGTTGTATTTGATATGAATAAAATTTTGATTTCTCAGAGAGAAGGGTAGGAGAAACATTGGGCCACTATTATGTGTGATGGTTGGTCCGATGGGAAGTCAAGGGCATTCATTAATTTTTGGTTAACTGCTCAATAGGTACTTTTTTTGTTAAGTCTGTTGATGCATCAGATAGGTCACATGATGCTACATACTTATGTGGCTTGATAGATGAGATTGTCGAGTTTATTGGTGAGCAAAATGTGGTACAAATGTTAACTGACAATGGTGCCAATTATGCTGCAGTCGGGCATTTCTGCACTTTGAAAATGACACATATGTTTTGGACTCCTTGCGCAGCTCACTGTGTTAATCTTATGCTTAAGGAAATGGGTACAACATCTTTATTTAGTGGGGTGATTCAAGAGCTATGTTTGTTGTTGGATTTATTTACAAGCACACTATAGTCCTAAGCATGATGAGGTCTTTTAAAAAGAAGAGAGAATTAGTGAGACCGGGTATCACTACATTTGCCACATCATTTCTCACTCTTCAAAGCCTAGCCAAGCAACAAAGTGCCTTGAGGACCATGTTTGTTTCAGAGCCATGGAGTCAAAGCAAATGGTCAAAGCATAAGGATGGGAGAAAGGCTGAAAAAATTACTCTGAATACATCTTTTTGGAGTCAAATAATTCTTGCAATGGAAGTGGCTCGCCCTTTGGTGAGAGCGCTTCGACTGGTTGATGGTGATGTGAAGCCCGCCATGGGCTACGTACATGAGGCAATAACTAGGGCAAGAGCTGAAATAACGGATGTTTTAAAGGATGATGAAAATATGCGCAAGGCTATACTTGAAATTATTGATAAGAAATGGGATACCTAGCTTCACAAGTACCTCCATTCAGCCGGTTACTTTCTAAACTCATCTCTTCACTACAAGCACCCATCCATTGAGTTGGATCGTATAATACATTGTGGGTTCTTAGATGTGCTTGAGAGGTTGGTACCTGACAAAAATATCTAGGATGAGATCCAAAGCCATGAATTGATTAAGTTCAAGTTAGCCATGGGAAATTTTGGGAGAGATATTGCTACTCGAAATAGGGACACTACAGACCCAGGTAAAGGCCAAAAGTAACCTTACTTGTCTCTGACTTTATGTATAGTTCCATTGTTTATTTATTTACCCTTAATTTTTATCTATAATCTAAATTATAAAATATTATACAACTGCATGGTGGGCATCATATGGAAGTGAGACACCAAATCTACAACGTCTCGCTATTCGAGTGTTGAATCTCACATGTAGCTCATCTGGCTGTGAACGCAATTGAAGTGCATTTGAGCATGTAAGTCTTTTACTCCTTATTCCTTAATCCTTATTTCTTGAATTTCAATTTTCTAATCTAAAATCTAATTTATCTAATTTCAATTTTTTACCACAACTCCATACAAAAAAGAGAAATAGCTTGAAGCAGAAAACATTGAATGATTTGATTTATGTGTGGGTATAATGAGCAGCTTAGGAAATGGTATGAAAATCGCACGAAACTCAACCATATTCAATTACATGAAGCTTATGGTGATTCTACAAGTGAGTGGATCATGGATCCAAGACAACAGCGTGTGTTTGATAGTGAGGATCTTACATAGCTTGATGTCGAGCTAACAACAAGGGCTAATGAAGAAGATCGACCTAACACTAGAGCACAAAGGAGTAGAGGAGCTGTTGGGTCTAGTCGCACTCGCACATTAGCTTTAGAGATTGAGGAGGAGGAAGCTGACTCAGAGGAGACCGAGGAAGAAGAATACATGGAGGCCGTCAAGTATGATATTGATGATGCACATGACGACTCTCAAGATGACCTCTCTGATTGGTATTTGAAAAATTGACTTCAAATTTCAAACTTGACTCTCAAAATGGATGATTGTATTAAGTTATTAACTATTAACTCTTCTTGAGCTTGACTTTTAGTTTGTAATATCACTATTTTGTGCTTATGGTTGTGCTTATGGTTGTGCTTATTGTTGTTGATGGTTGTGCTTTTGTGCTTATGGTTGTGCTTATGGTGCAAATTTGTGCTTATGGTTGTTGATTGTTGAATGTTTTATGAAGTTAGTTTCAAGTTTCTAGTTTCTATCAAGGGATAGTGGATAACTAGATAAATAATCTCCGACAACTAATAATTTTGAAGTTAATCATTAAACTAAAATACGTACTATCACATATATCACCTCCATATTTTTTTAGATTTTTTAGAATTTTTTTATATTTATTGACCGCGGGCTGCATCCCCCCCCCCCCCCCCCCCCCTTCCCCCCACCCGTTTTTTGCCGCATCCCGCACTTTAAAACATTGAGTTCGGCAGAGAGAGAAGAAGAAGAAGAAAAGGTCTGCTCCTTGCAATGGGCAGCATCTTTTTGAAGAAAAACAGGCTTTATCATAAACGTGGTCTGACTCATTCCAGCTTTTTTTTGGGGTGTTTTGAGGATAATTATATCCTGGTTATGGTGGCAAAGTTAGATCCAAACGTGTTGGCGGACTTAAAAACGTGAATATACATGCCCAGGTATTGTATAAACAGGGTCCCGGAGAAAGGAATCGAAGAGCCGCTCAGTATGACTATGATTTCTTATGACCATGAATAATTAAACCGAAGTAGTAGTAATAGTAATAATAATAATAATAATAATAATAATAATAATAATAATAATAATAATAATAATAATAATAGAATTTCAAATAATAATAACAATAATAAAATCTAAACAAGAAATCAACATGCAAATCATTCTATCCTCGCATGAACCTTCATAAATTAGTCGCTTCAAGAGCTCAAGAAGATCATATTAACAACAGTACAATCAGGCATCATAATGTGAGCTTTCCGACTAAAATTCAAAAAGAAAAGAGACCTCCCAAAGAAAGGAATCGAAGGGCCGTTCAGTATATAGGTATAGCCAATAAATTTTTTTTTTTTTATTGTGTTAGCTGTCAATATCTCCTATATTGCTATCTGATGATTTGGAATAATGTGTCTTGGATACAAAAGGCTTCATACATAAATGATGTGCAAAAATCGATCTCATCCATTCAAAGAATGTATTAACTGATGTGATGCATCTGGATGCAGTAACATGAAATGGTCAAATCACAATCAACCATTCATTACTTGTACTGTTTGTGTACAAAGACTTCATGCCCAATACACTCCTTGTCAAAATAAATGGCAACGAGTTAAAGGTTAAATGAAGGCCTTAAAAACCCATACTCTCCTTCAATTTCAGACTCCAGACATGACAATCGCTACATCAATATTCAATCAATATTTGAAACCAACTACTTGCAACAGTCCAACTTATTCATGGAGGATGCAATTAGTAGGGACATGTCAATGGATCAACTCATGAACCAGCCAGGTGGGATCACAGTTTCATCTAATGCTAGTATAAAAAGACTCATTTATCCAAAAAAAATAGATTAAAGAAAACTCATGCATATCCAATACAATGTATTGAGCAAATATCTCAAGGGGCGTATTGAATCATTATTTGTATCAATTTAGCAGCACATTTTCTAAAAGATAATGACAAGTATACATTTGAATGCGCCTATTGGTTACATCATTGTATCAATTTCACAGTATTCACTATAACAACATACCAGAAATAAAAACAGCAACAAAAACAATAATAATTTAACAACAAAAAGAGAAATGCCGATAAGAATAGCACATTATCTTGAAGAAAAACACCATGATAGTATGCTTCAATAGATTCATGTGAAGGTAGAAAGGGGCTTGCGTCGTGGCGGTAGCACCCCACACCCTAGTCACCACATTGTTGTTTCCATTCCCACTACTAATACCACCCCACTAATACCTCCAAAAAAACTAACTCCTAATCTACTTGAGAAAGCGGGTAGGGCCTTACTTCCCCACTGAATTACCCAAAAAAAAAAAAGTAAAAATGAAATCTTGGACCCTAATTGAAAAGAAACCAACAAAAAATGTGTACATGTTAGTGTGTATTATATATATAGAGAGAGAGAATGTCCGATCAAAGGCACAAACCATTAGATTATCCCACATATCCACTCCATAATCTCAATAATGCAGGTTTTCTCCCGACCTATTTCAGAGCATCAAGGGAAAAGGAAGTAACAAACCATTCCAATGAAACTGATTGGACCAAGCATCAGATTATCCAGAACCCCTTCAGAAAACTTCATACACCATTAACAAGAAATAAACCCAAACATATATTACAATAATAGTAAAACAGGGCCAAGACTGAAGCTCCTACCTGGTTTGTGTTCTTTTCACCGCATCTCTCTGAGATAAACAACCGAGGCGCCATTATATAGTTTCCTGCGCGCAAACAGTTTACTGACAAGCAATCAATACAAGCTTATCCCACACAAAGAGAGAGAGAGAGAGAAAGTCTTATTAGAGGAGAAATCAGGACTGGAGAAGAGTCTTATGAGAGGGGGAATGGAGAGAGAGAGAGATGCGTTTGTTTTCTTGGCTTTTAGGAAAGGAACGGCGGGAATTCAGCCGGGAAGACAGAAACTGTGGAATTTCCCACTCCACGATATTTTAAATTTTGAGAAATGCGTTTGATGATGGGACGCAGAGGCTTTGGAAATGGGATACGCGGCTTGACCGAAAAATAGGTAATGTAATTTTCCAATTTGTTGCATAAACTCTTTTATTTTTTTGATAAGATTTATTTTTTTATTTTTTTTAGACTAGAGATAAACTCTTTTATTTTGTTTATTTATTAATAAATTTGTCAAACAATGTGGATTGTACAAGTTGGCAGCATATAGAAGCACCATTATAATGCACAACGGTCAATTTTAATTGGTGATGTAGATTTACATGCCTCAAAAAGTCCATGTTGGCATATCTTTCAAGATAGTATTAAATGTATAACGTCCAAGTACAGTGGACAGTATAAGTTTTATTTTTTTGAATCATAAAATAGACTATAAGTTACTATTACTTCATTTTTAATAGTAAGGTTACAACCTCGAATAAACAATTTCCTCTATCAAAATATATTTAAGGGATGTATTATTTAATATTTTACCTCTTTTTTACTTAATTTTAAAAAGTCCATCAAAAGATAGATAATCACAAGTTAGGACTGTTGTAAATAGATATATTGACAAACAATTGGTAATTTACGTACATTATAATAAGTTTTCCTTGTTTTAATAACTTAGATCGGGATAGATTGGATAAACAACTAATTGGTGCAAAATAAAATGAGCAACTAACCTCTCAAAGTTTTAGAAGCATTTTGGTCATTTTAAAAACGCTTTTTGCTATTGCAAAGCACTCGCTCGTTATGCAAACTATTTGTTTTGTATTTTTTAGAGGTGCTCAAGGCTAGAAGGATGGCACCCCAAATTTAGCTTGTTCCCATCCATATGCAAGAAAAGAGATATCAAATACTTAGATATGTTCTAAACCATTCGAAGGACGACTGAGAAAGATAACCTTTTAGTTGAACTACAATATGGACTATTTGTTCATTTTAAGCCTCAACTTCATCTATTTTTATTTTCCAATATCAAATAGAAATGAAATTTGAAATATGTGTGCCTCATTTTGGTGCATCTATTAAAAAATAATTAGAATAGAAGAAATTAACCAAATAGCCCTCAAAATATTAAAAAGTATTCGACCATTTTATTTTTGAAATGCCAATTTTGTTATTTTGTGCAAGTGCATGAGGGTGAAAAATATTTAGTCCAATTTGAGGCAAAAAAATTAAAATAAAATCAGATTAATTTGACATGTCCACAACAGTCTATTTTATGGCGAGCTTAACATTTCCTTTTTAGGCGATCTGGACCGTCCAATTTGTTAGACCTATGGCTTAGAAATCTCATTCATCTAAAAGAAATTAGCCTCTTATAGATGTAAATTTCAATAAATGGCTAAAACTGACTAATTTTCATGTTTCCAATTTCCAAAACCCCAATTTCCAAAACCCCAATTTCAATCAAACAAAGGTTCTCAGACTTCCTATAACTCCACCCACATTATCAAAAATAATATTTGTCAAATCCGGATAATAAATAATTCAGCTTCTAGAAGTCTAGAACTTTTAACTTCTATGGAATTTCCAGCTTCCACCTATCAAATAGGCCCAAACTTATGTGAAGTTTAATTTTTGGAGCCCTCCTTTCATTTTTCTTCAGTTATAATACAAGCTACATGGAATAGAAGTCCAAAATTTTACAAATTTTATGGCTATGGTTTCTTCACTCTCTCGTTTGATTTTGAGGGAGTGTTTGAATTAGAGGCCACATTTACCCTACACCATTATTCTCTTTTTTACCACCTTTTTTCTTTTTTTGGATAATTTAGTGTGGAAGACTAACCCCTACTGTATTTTCAAGTAGATTAAGAGTTACATCTTTTAAGGTATTCGTGGGATGATGTTAGTAATAGGAAAAAAACCACAACGTGATGATTAAGGTATGGGGTGCTATCAATGTAATTAAATACTTCTTCTTTTTTGATGAAGAGGTAATTAGATGCTTCCTTGTTTGGCAATTGGCAAAAAAATGTGGAGGTAGAAAACTGGTGACATGAAAACTAAGAACCCTACTGTAATAACATGTCTAGGAAAAAGGATATGTTGTCGGCAATTTTCCATGTTACCCAATGTTACTATCATTGAAACCTAGATTAAGTACATATTTGATTTATTGTCTTGAAATTAGAGATTGAGTTTGAGATTGATTTGTATTCAAAGTTCATGTAATTCAAGTTTATATTTTATGAATATTTAAGTGTAGTCCCATGTATTTGAGTGTCTTGGTTTTGAATAAATCCCATGGGCCCAAATCCATTATGTAGTACATAATAAAGTGGCGCGCCGAAACAATGTTGTCAGATTCATTTCGGCATCTGTTTCGGTTTGGTACGAAAAATGAAGCAATTCGGTGCATCGGTTGATTCGGAGAAAGACTTCGGATTTTTATAAAAAAAATTAAAAAAATACAAACATATTTCTATAAGTTTATAAAAATTAAAAAAGCTAGAGTGGTAATAATAAGTTTTAGATTGATCAATATAAATGAGGTAGAGTGGTAGACAAGTGTTTTATTTCCCTAATTCTAATACGTTCATATAGTAGTAACATTTGAGTTCATAAGCATAAAATAAAAAATAAAAAAAATTGATCAACTACACATTAATAATAAAAAGAAACACCAACAAATAGAAAGAAAAGGACTAGAGAAGCACACAACATCCATTTATAATATAAAAACAGAAAATTGTACAAGATGCACAAACTCAATAAAGATACATACATGCCATACAAGTAGATTGAGCACATTAATTTACAGTATTTTTCATTAATAAAAAAAATCAAAAAATAATTTAGAAAGAAGCCGAAAATTTGGGCATAATATAGGAAAACTCAAATTTAGGGCATGTTTTGAGAATACTGGCACACTGCTGGGAGAGGAAGAATTTTCAGTGATAAAAAGTTTTGGGCACTGTTTGGGTTTTTGGGAGCCCAAAATTTTGCACCATTAGGATTTTAAGAAGCCCAAATTTAGGGCACAACCACTGTGAATAGGACATAGAGAGAGAGAGTTATGTGCGGGCCTCCGGGACTTAGGAGAGAGAGTACCTGTATTTTTTGGAGAGAGAGAGGCGGGATTGGGGGTAGAGAAAAAAGATTGAGGCATAAAAAGCCTTTGTTCTGAGTCGTTGGATGAGGATTTAGGATTTTGTTCTTGTTTTTTTTTTTTTTTTGCTTGTTCTTTGGCATCAAAACATCTTCGAAATTTTTAAGGTGGGCTCTAATGTGATTGTTTAGAGCCTCAGCTCTAACTTTTTCCTAAGAAAATTACATAATATTAATATGAGCAATGATCCTATGAGACCCTCC